TCGGACGGCGAACCATGGAGAGAATCCGAATTTTAATTTCATTAAAATTAAAAATTATTCTTCCAACATATGAGACCCTTTCGTTTAAAAATGATACACTTAACTTTAGCTTCAACATCTTTGCTATTTACTCAATTATGGAATGCAGCATGATATAAGTCTCGTTATGGAAGTTATAGGAAAGGTAGGATTTACCAGACAATCTGTTAGGGGATTTCCTAGAAGATTTATTGTACCATGGTATATTACGATACTCTCTGTGGATACATTATGAGGTCTAATGCGATATTCGCAAGATTCCCTTCAAAAGTAAGCATAAATCCTGCTACGGATGCACGTAAGGATCATAACTTGTGTAATACAAGATGCATTATGTACCTGATATAAAACTAATCTTGTTATACCATTATAATAAATGGTTTAATAGTGAATTAGGTAAATATTAAACAAATTAAATAAGTAGTTCTTGAGGATAGTACAGTTAGATACTTGAATATTTAAATAGCTAAATAGTTGAATAGTTAATTAACTGAATAATTGATTGAATAAATGTTTCTGAAGAAAGGTGAAAAGAAATTATGAACTATTCGCAATCACGTTCATTCAACAGCAGCTGTTTCTGTATAAAATCTTACAAAAACCACCAGAAATTGGCGACTGCGGCGATCCTTTTTTGGTAGCAAAGCTTTTTCCAGGACGATCGAATTTCCTTGCTTTCTTCATCGTTCTTTTCTTGCTCTCTCGAGCGTGATTCACATTCGCGAGCAAGCGAGCGATCATTTTTCACCGTTCTTCCTGGATCCTTCTTCTCAAATAGCGAACGAGCAAGCGTCTCAAAGGAACTCTCTCGAGAACACGCGAATAAATATTTGATTTCTTCGTCAATAGCGAGGAATTCGTTTGAATTAATTGAACCGAACAGCTACGTTTTTTTTCCTTCGTGCTTGTACAGTGATTTTTATATAATGTATCATAAACATAGACACTTTGAAGTATATTTCTTTGCATTTTCCTTAGAAGAAAAATTACATAAATGAAAGGTAAAGTTATATTTCTATTTATGTTGCACTGAGCCTAAGACTTTTCATCTCACCCTCTTCTGAAAGCTTGAGGTTAAGGCTTCAGATTTATTCATATTTATGCGAGGTCCATGCATTTACGTGCAACTTTGAAATGTAAATATGATCCTGAAATTCGTTCCTCTACACGCTACGAAAGGATTGTTTGTAAACGTCAAAGGATCTCACGATTAATTTTCGTATTCCTCCCCTTTTTCTTTCCTATTTTTCTTGAACGCGTTCGGTCTGCTTTCGATTGCGGTGACAGCGTCATAAATTCTGCATCGAGGGAAATTAATGTACGCACGGTGAGAAAGCTGTGTTCAGCAATGTTATGGTAATTGAAGCTGAAATTTACAATTAATTTTCTTATAATTCTCTGCTGCTGCACAGCTGACCACATCCAAATTTTTGAAATTTTATTCAATCAATTAATTATTCATCTTATCAAAGATAAATGTAGTTACTATTAATCTTTGCGTCTTCGGAGGATCAATCACCGCAAAATTGGCTGTAATTATCAACGTTCATGAAACGTTTGCTGTCAGCCTATCCTATATGTATATTGAAGATGGTGGATGCACGGACATCTGCCAATCTGGAATGCAGTATGTAGCCAATAGATTGTCCACAAGAACCGCCCAGTAATTAACACGCGATTATCGTCACTTAAGGGTGCCTTGTTGACGGAATTAATTATCCATCTTAATATTAATTAGTCAATTATGCTAATGAAGTCTCTGTTGGAATATAAAAATCTCTATAAAATTAATAGAAAAATAAGCTCTCGAATGGCATCACTATTTCATTAATAATAAAAAGCAAATAACTGAAAGAGCAATTTAAAAAGTTGCATACGATAACTCAGTTATTTTTTAACTGGAAATAATATAAAGGTAATACCATTGATTAAAGGTTGCATGTTGCACTACCTTTTGTTTCGAGGAAATGCATCGAACTGGAGCAAACTTGTGTTCAACGCGATTCAGATGGTAGATACCGATTCCATGTATCGTTATATGTTATATCAAACAGAACCGGAACACCACTGTTGACTTTTACGAAGTTCTTAAAAAGAACCATAGGATAAAAAAATAACACTGATCAAAACAACCAAAAGGTCTCAACTAAAAGTCGTTATGGAATGTGAAAAACAATTTACCAAAAATTTGACAAAATTCATCGTCAATAAAATATTGAATCGTGTGTTTATATGGGAACTTAGGTTTTCGAGCGTGCCTCGAAGCGAACGAAAATATTCATAGAAATCATAGGATGGATCTTCGAAATTCCGGATTTTCAATGCTCTTCTAGAGCCGCAATGAATGTGGCACTATCGATTGGAAAGATACGAGGAACGCTCTTACGCGTCTGTTCGTATTGAATATTCATAGTTCATCCACGGTATTGTCCCCTAGATTATCTTTGGATCAGACGGCTTTACCTCGGTAAGCTGCCTTGCAATCGATCGGATTTATCAAAGTTACCCGGTGACGCGAATTATTAACAACGGCTTTTACTTTTTAATCTAGGGCAAAATAAATAGACCAATTTATATCTGGACCAAAGTATTCTTCTTAAGAGATTCTTTTATGGCCCTCTTCCTGCCTTTAGAAGTATAGATAAACTACTCCAAGTCCTAAACTACGATACTACAGTAGGACGAATTGTCAATTTCATTTTGTTTGAAAAATTCCTGAGTTTTGATACTTAAAAAATTACAAATTACTTTTATAAATTGAGAAGAGGGTAATTTTTTTGTCGCATTTGTTTTCTTATCAAATATTATATTACTATTTGTTTATTAGAAAGAGGTTCAAGTTGAACCAACTTTTACACTGATAAGTGTTTTGTCTCGGAAGGGTTAAAAAAGGGTTCAGTCGGTAGAAATAGGTGAAAAATGATGGTCGAGGATGAGATCGAGGACGCTACAAATTGGCCACTTAGCTTGTCGACAATTTCGCCGGTATTACTCTTCGGAGTGTCTACGAGCATCTCGTCAGTTTTCACGAAGTCGACGGAAGTGCCATTCGTCTCGGATTTCTTGCTGTTTCCGCTCGACACTCCTCCGCGAAAGTGCTTCTTCTTGCTTGATGTGGATCGACCTCTTTGCTAACAATTAATGTTTTCTTTTCGCGTTGCGCAAATTCAAGTGGATAATGAAAATTCAAACAACCTCGGAGTAAAAATGAATCTTGCGCACCCACAGGAATTTTTTGGGCAAAATTATAAACGACAATTTTATAGTTAATAATAAAAGTTATAAATGAGGTACGTTACGTAGAAGTAGTGGAGCAAGGATTTAGCTGAAGGTGACAGAAAATAGACTGGAGAGACAGTTCAATTAACTTTTTTGCCGGTGAATTCCGTGTTTTTACGGATGACTTGAAGTTAAGTTTTTCTCAAGTTACTTCTGAAATGGCGACTCCTCAACTTTTCTCCTCTTTAGCTAGAATGTCTGTAAAAAGAGGCAATGAAGTGGTAATCGATTAACGCTTCAGCTCTTCTATGATTGCCAGGTTCATAACACTTTTTTTTTTTCATCAATTTGCTTTGAAAGAAAAAACGTACAATACCTGGAAACTTTCTTTGCACCCTTCAACCTATTCCACTGAAAAACAAAGTACGAGATGTTCAATATAACTTTTCCCAGAATGCCTTCTCCATTAATGTCTTCGTTACTCTTAGTTTCTTAATTACAAATTATAATTGCAAGAGTTATCCTACAAAACCCGAGGTCATCAAAATATTAATTATATAAATGAATGAATTTCCTTGGAATATGGTTTCATCGATTCAGTTTATATTGAATTTTTCACCTTTCAAATACTTTGTCTTCTTATTATTGAAGATTCCAGTGAACTTGACGCTTCATCCATTAGTTCCCCTTGATTTCCTTCCGTAACGAGATTCGAACGGAAGGGATGGAGGATTTCAAAATGTTTGGTCTTGGGACGCAAACTCTAAGCATCAATTTCGAAACTATTTGCTGAGAATTTGATCGAGGAAGATAGTGTGAGTCGTGCAATTCGGTATAGCCATTTCAGTGCTGGGTAGGTGGTGTTCCTTCGCGATCCATGTTGAACGAATTCTTTCGTATATAGAATGTCTTAAAAAAAGATACACCGTGAAAATTGCGCATTCTTGAAATTCTTTATCATTTCACAACGCGGGACTCGTTTTCGACGTACGAACGACACGTGATATTGAAAATAAGATAAAGTATAAAATTGAATTTAAGATTTCAGAACGTTTAAGATCTCAAAATAGACAATCTTGGGTTAATGCCAAAGGCGTAGAGATCTCATACATAATTAAACTGCGCCTGCATGTTGCATATCAACAGGCAGATTTCGAAACGTTGAAAGTTTGTATTAAGATTATCAATGAAATGTTTATATAGTAATTTTTATCAAACTTCATGCTTTAAATTAATGTATCATAAATGCTATTTTACGGTACTTTTATGTCATCAAATTGAAATCGATGATTGCATGCTCGCAATCAATTTATATTAACCATCGTAATTAACAATAAAATTATGATGTTTAAATAAAGCTCGACCAAGTGAAAAAATCAACAATCGAAATAACAATTTGGTAAATTGAAGTACGGTAGGAATCGTAATTAAAAAATGTCAGATTGTAGAATGACGATTGTAATTACTGAAAGAATGGGAAAAATGTCCTTCGGGAACGAAGTTGACCATGTTGGAATATGTTCGTTCTAATTGATTATTGGACATCGAATCAAGCTGAACATTCGATATGTAATTAAACTGGTTTTTGTGTAAGGGATGTCTATTATTTATGGATAGGCACATTAATTAGGGGCACACTAATATTATTTCCATTGAATAATCAAAAATTTATTAATTTTGGTATTAATAGGCTTTTGGTAAATAAAACGATATATTAAATTAGAAAAGCATTAGAAACTCACCTCTAACTAGGGTGAGTATCCCAAGAGGCATTACCAGGACTGCAACCATTAAATCAGTGATCGCCAAACTCATCAAGAAGTAATTGGTAACGTTTTGCAATCGTCTCTCCCTAGCTATAGCGAGGCAGACCAAGATGTTACCAGCCGCTGTACCCAGCACCAGTACAAGGGCCAACATGGCCCACCAATTGTTTAATCCGTTGTAGTCGATGTCCAATCGTGTCTCGTTCACCACCTTGCCATCGTACTCGGTCCCGTTTAATATTCCAGACACGGTGAAGCGCACCCCGTCACAGGCTGCACTCGTATCGTTCGCAGCGGCGAACAACAAAAGCTCCTCGTAACAGGTGTCGACGACGGCCTCGTAAGGATCCGTGCGATCGATCCTCGGCGTCGACGAGCCGATCATCGCTCAAGAAAACGACTGATCTACGAATAGCTTCTTCTTATCCACAGATGCTCCAGCATCTGCGACCACGACTAGGCAACGTTTTAATTTTACTCGTTATTAAATCATAAATGATACATCAAGTTTTGGCAAAAATTATTTTTTCATATAATCTTGATTATTTCATTCGAGGATATTTTTCTAAGAGACACTCTATTGTCAGCTTCTTGCACACGTTGGTCAATAGGCTGATTATTTGTATTTTAAAATAATTCATTTTTTTAATTGCAATTGAAGAAGGAAAAAAGCTTCTAAATAGAAGTTCCAGATTGTAAAAGTTGAAGGTACCGATTCGACTGACTAATTTAAATTGTTAAGCCGAAATAACTTTCCACAGGAGCTGATACGATCTACAGTACAATCAAAGGGATAAAATATTTTTCTCCTCGTATTTTTTTCGCATCCCCTATCGATCCTACTGTCAAACACTCTTGGACCGTTCGGCAGGGAACTTACTTTGAAACTCGTTGAAATATTTACGCATCGACGATCCCTCGATAGTGTTCGATTTTTAATACAACTGCTGGCGCGATGGGAAAGTGACGGAGGGTTTCATAGAATCGTTGGTAGTCAACGCTACACGAAATGCAGTTTCGTTGTGAAAATTTTTTAGTGCTTTTTTCTCTCTGGTAAGATAGATTAAATATTGACGTTCGAACGGAAAATCATTCTTTTTTTTTTTTTTTTTTTTTTTTTTTCGAAAGAAAAGTAAATTTGTGGAATATCGCTTTTTGTGGGGTAACTATTTTTATTACTATATGTTTGAAAATATTCCATCAAGAATGAAACACGTGTTCTCGATGATCGTATCGATTTGTATTTACCTACATCTTCATGAACGATTTCCTAGTAAACAGATAAAATTATCTATGCTCTAATGTCAAATGTTATGACTGAACCTGAATTTGTCAGATTCAGATCAGCCTTGAAGAATGAAACTGTAATATTTATAGAACTTCGGTAAGACGATGGAAATTTGGAAAATGATAAAAAATTCAATAACACTTCCCCGCGCGATGGTAGTGATTCACAAGTTGTGTCATTGTATCGCATGTCGGCAACACGGGAGCCAGGAGCCTTTTGGCCAGGGATAATCGTTATTTCCCTTCCGGAATGGCGTGTATCGGGGCAATTTTCTGCCCGGTTTTGTGCTACAGATGAAAATTAACGAGTGCAATTTATTATAGCCCCGACCAGAAAACGAAGAGGGCCACTCAGTCGGATTAATTTATTAGCGAGCTATACGGAATTTGAATATTCACGAAGAGAGCGAGCGAGAGGGAAGAAAAAATGTTGCAATTTCGTTCGAGATTCCGGCATCTCGATCGATCGCAGGAAAATTTGTTTTCAATTATAACAATCCAGAGGCGATGAACAAAAAAATATCGTGGAAGCATACGAGGAATGTAATGAAATTTCTGAACATTCTATCAAATATTTTCCACATATGTTATAACGTAATCGAAATTTTAATTCAATTAAATTCTTTTACGTTTGTAAAAAAAGTGCACACCGGAGATGGAAAATTTTCTAAAAACTGATCATTATTTTAGTATGCAACTTTTTTATCAAATTTTTGCTACATGAATTGTTGAATTGAAAATTTTATTAAACAGGTAAAATTGTCAAAATTGTGCATACCTACCTTATTACTACTATACAGAGATCTACTGTAAATAGAAAAAAGAATGAATTGCATCGAAAAATGAATAATCAAATGGTAGATGAAATAACGCGCGAAAAAATGAACTGCCGTTGGTTGTCGAGAGTGAAACGCGGTTGCTTCCTGCCACCTTTTCCTTAAGCTTCCGTTTAACCCTCTTCCACTCTCAACCCATCTATCCGAAGGTAATTATCTTCCAGCGAAAAAAACAAAAGAAGTCGAATAGAAACTCTAATCGTTTCACAGCAATGCAACCTTGAATTCTTTCTAAATCAGATTTTTATTCCAATTCGCTCGGATTTTCGAAGCTTCTCTCCTTCCTCCACCGCGGAATTTAATTTACGACCAATGTGTGCGTTCACGAACGATCAGATTCGAATGGTTAAAGGGCAACGAGATTCACTTTTTTGCAGTGTTACCACGTTATACGAAACAATAAGTTCCTTGCTTTTCCACATGAGGTTTCTGATCGAACACAGCTAGATTCATTAAATTTCTTATGATTTTCTTTTCAGTAACTTTTAGTTGATTGATTATTCTCATCAATTCTTGTAAGGAGGATTGAACCTATAGACTAATATTTTTACATTTTTCTTAGAAAATAAAAAAATTAAGCCTGCACAATCAAATGAATTTTTCCTCGATCTTGCAATCAACATTCCTAAATTTTCCCTACAATATCATCACTCCTCCTGCCACAGAAACTTTCCCACCAAAATATAATAAAAGTAAAAACACACACGACACATAGGAAGCAACCACAACAACACTTTAAACGAGCCCACTTCCAAAGATCGAAAAGAATCATTCACTATCCTCGGGATCGACGATCGATCAAAATGATTCGCGGTTTTAAACGCGTACGAGCGAGGAGCACGTGTCGCTCGACCGCGGCACATCCGACTCCCTTCCGGTACGAGGCTCTCCCGTCCGTTGCCGCCTCATCTATTCGACTTCCGGTACGTAGAGAAGCCGCTTTGACGGCCGACGATCTACTGAAGCGACGTTATCGCGAATACTACTAGCCCACTGGCCCTCATTCCTTGCAGCACCCCTTCGGCATGTATCACCCCCTCTTCCCCTCCTTACCACGTCCAACCCCAACGACCACCCTGTTGGCCACGTTCTCCAGCGTAACCGTGCATCGGGACGCGAACGCAGGCGCGTCGCGACGACGGACAACCCACCGTCCCGTCGCGTCGCGTCGCGTCGTCTGGCGTCCCTTCGACACAGATCGTACGGCCACCTGTTTCTACTGGTCTAGTAACTGCGAGAGGATGAAAGAGATAACAGTGCGGGTTTCCAGGTGACCCGGTCAAGATTGCTGCATGGTACGTAGAGATGTTTTCATCGGTTCACGAATATTTTAATTGATCCATAACGATGATGGGCTTTCGTTTTTCATCTCTCGTCAGAAACGTTATCGGATCGTTCCTCTTTTGGATTTTCATGAAATTTTATAGATTTGTTGATTGCAAGGCATTTCGTTAAAGACAGGAGATATGGAATTTTTTTTTTTTTCTTTTTTTTTTGAGATTGATATTGAAGTTTTATTGAAATAATTTCAGAATGAAAATTGAAATTTTGACACGTTTTATTTTGATGGATCATTAACATTTGCATTATAATAGATGAGAGGTGTAGAAACTTATGAATTTAAGTGATGTAATAGTTTCTTTTATTAACATTCATTTTTCTAATGCATCGATCAGCCTCCGAAATTTCACTTATCATATTCGGAGCTTAAAATAAAAGACCGCAGTTTGTGATCGTTAGATGTTTAAAATGTAAATGTATACTTTCAGAATAAACGTGTTCTGTGACCCTTAGAGATATGATGGAACACGCGAATTGCTCGTTTGCTGAAGGTTCTTCGTCTCGAAATGAGTGATAATCGCTCTATACGAGCGGCTAAAAAGTTTCGGTCATCAGAAACAAGCTGTTTTCATGTAACAAATCTCATGTGAGTAATAAATCCTTTCGATGACGTGTACAAAAATATCATTGTTGAATAATAACCTTACAAATGGTTTACCACCATCATCCTACGTACTCGTCAATCTAATAGTAAACTTAATGTCCAAAGGGTGAAACTGTAACTGTGTATAAAAGAGACGTACATACACCCAAGGCGTTAGCGTACAGTCAACTATGTTAAGCTAACTCTATCTTAGCTAACTACATAGTAGCGAAAGTGATAGGAGAATTGAATTGAGCCTCAGGGCAGCTTGCAAACGTTCAAGGATTCCTCTACAGACACAGGATACTGTCTAAGTCTAGTAGCATACGTTTGCATTTCGAGACATCTTAATTAGCTACTTAGGCAGCTTAAGCAGCTCCTCAGGTGGCCTAATTCGTTGACCAGGTAGCTTAAGCAGCTTCTCGAATAGCTTAAGCACGTTCTTAAACTGATTAAACAGCCTCTTAAGTCGATTAAGTAGCTTGAGCCTTTCAAACGAAACTTAAGCAGATCAATTAACTTTTCTACTTAATCAATTCCTTCAACGGTTTCATTAATTTTCATTAATTAGGTGGAATTTAATTTTTTTTAAAGAAGTATTCACCTTGCCATACTTACATTTTTTTAAAATATTTATTTTAGTAAAGTACTTAATGTTTGAGACAACACGTGAAATTTGCAACCTTTTTCTTTACCTTTTTCATTATCTACTTAAATAAAGTAAACAGTTAGTCTTTAGAAAAGTATATACCATTATTCGAGTTAAAGGAGGTTCGTTTGCCTTTAGATGATAAAATACAATGTACATAGTAAGCAAGCCGACAGTACATTTCGGTTAAATGCAACCGCGGCGAAGCAAAGAAGATAGGAAATGGAAATGCTCAATGCAGGAAGTTACAGAAGGACGACAAAGAGGTGTCGCGACCTCGGGGAGCTTCGAATCATGCCAGGTTTTATATTCTGTGAAACTCTTCATATCCGTTATATTCTCGTCCCATTCCCGAGCGTAATGATTCTCTATCCTTTAAAACTTCGTACGAGAAAACGTGAATCGAATGGAGAAAAGGAATAAGTTTCAAGTTTTCAACGTCCAACTCGAGAATATCTAACGAACAATTTTAACGTTTCGTCTATTCCTGTAAACGTTACAATGTCATTTTATGAAAATCAGGTTTTTCCATATCCAAGAGTTTTCCCAGTTTGTTTTAATTTTTCAATTTTTTCATTTTTAAACCTTTTAATTTTTAAAGAAAAATATTTCTATTTCCAGTATCCTATTCACAAAGGGTTAATTATTATTTTGGTATTTAATTATAAAAACGATTGAGATTTAATGGTCGACCATTTACAAAAATTAAGCTAATAATTCTAATTCTTATTTAAGCTTTCTTTCTTCTTCCTTACCACTTTTTCATTCATGAACATCGCGCGTTTTAATTAAAACGCTTTCATACAAAAAATAGAAAGAAGAAACGGGTTATGGAGCAACAAGTCTTATGAAGATTTTTTAACGCATGACACAATAACCGTGCCTTTGAGGTCCTCCATTTGGTCGGTCATTTTATTTCTTCATTCAGTCGATCTAATTAGGATAAAAGCACTCCCGTAGACTCGACAGAACAAACAGGTCCGCGTAAAAGCAAGAATGAGCTCCAAGTGTATTTAAGGATATAATCACGTTAATGCGAATACTGCGAATCTCGATAAAAGTGAAATTGCACAAATTAAATGACAGCTCTAATAAAACTTGATAATACAAATGAATTTTTATGGGATTGAGTGCTCCATTAGAACTGGAAATATTTAGAAATATTATTGCCAAAAATTATTTGGATGGGAAATTTAAAAATCCCTCGGCCACGGGGGGGTAGACAGGACAAAACCTTGATCAAGGCAAACGTCCTGATGGATCACCACGCGGATTCTCTTGACTCCTCTGCTCCGTGGGGAAAACAGAAATTGGAAACTGCTCCCAGATTGGTAATGGAGGTACCGTGTTCTACGTTATTCCGTCTCCACAAGAGAAAGCGTTAAACTTACTTACGGGCATTAGCCTTCGTCGTCGTCGCCGAAACTCGATGGATCTTACGAGGACACCATAGGAGGACCAGGTCGAGGACACGATCTATAAATCCCAATTCATAAATCTTCGTTTTTGTAGCGATAACGAAGGTGTACTTCGAGTCCAATCGGTTGGTAGATACCATTTCTAAAATTATATGAATAAAATAGATCGACAGCATCGATCTTGAGAAAACTTGTATGGATTTTTAAAAGATTGCAAAGAAAGTTCGGTGAAAGGCAAAATGAAATTTTCGTATGCACGAAACACTTTTCAGGGTGCAGTTCATCCGGTTTGACTTTTCTCCACAGATTTTCCGACGGGGATGTTTATAGTCAATTGAGAAAATGCAGCTTTCATACGAGAAAGCTTATGAAGTGGTATTTTCGCGACAGACAATCGATGCCCTGTCCATCAGTGACTTTGGTCCTTTTCCTATTCTTGCGGTTAAAAGAAAATTTCGAGCTACGAAAATAGAAGAAATGAAAACCATGTTTACAGTAAAGCACGGTTACCATATTTCATAGAAACTATCCAGAGAGTAATCGATCAATTTAAGAAGAAACCCAATCGATTACCCTCGTTCCAATTTCCGTTCGAGTCACGTGGATGCATTACCTCAAATAAAAGCTCTCTTGCCAGTCCAATGAAACCTATTCCCCCTATTCTTTTTAACTTTCGTGTTCATTTTTCTTTTATCAAAAAACCATTGTGTTAAATGAGCAATATGAATTTTAAAAATCAAAGTGGAGGAAAGTTACCTAATTATAAAGGTGTGAAATTTAAAAATTTTCTTCAAAAATAAATCTTTCACTGAGAATTGTAAATTTCATGGTGTTTGTAAATATCTAGGAATGATAAGTGATCCTGTCCACGCCACTTAAAAAAGTTTCAGCTTGAAAATGTTCACATACTGAATCTACGTACGTTCCTGCTGAAATTCTCATCGATCATTCGTGACGTTATTTAAGCGAATCTTTTTCACTGCCTAGCACAAATACACGTATCCCTATGGAATGGGATTTTGAAAGCAAATATATCAAACAATGGCGCAAAGTTTTCTTTCACAGCTTGACTTATCCCATTAAAGACATGTGATACTTGCTATGAATGAAAACTTTGAAAATGATGGACTAGTTTTCATTCAGTAGCTTATGATACATTTCTCGAATAAAATATTGAATTTTATCTTGTAATATTTGCGAATCGAATTTATTAATATTTTTTATAATTTAAAAATTAATTCAAAGTGCTTTGATCGCTCTATCGCATCGTCGTGAATGTTTGACGAGCTATCTTGCCGTGAGCAAGTGATTGTTTATGCAAGCAAATAATTATTTGTTCGACAATATTTGATCCTAATACACACGCGTAGGTACGTAACAGCAATCATGTTCGTTCCGCGTTACCGAATGTTAAATATTGCAGAATGGATTGCGTGTCAAATGGGAAACGATTGCCTGTTGCCATTCGACGGATGCCTCAATTATTCGTTACATACATATCAGTGCAATGTGAACGACGCACGATGTACGCGCTCGTTAACCGGAGGGAATAAATGATCGATGGAACTTGATCGTGTAACAGTTTTTTTATTACTAATCAAACTCGTGGTAGTGTAAAGGTTTGAAATATTTGCATGAGCATTTAATTTTTTTGACTCTGTATAGCTGTATAGTCTGTATTATTGTATACCTATACTACTATATTAACTCCGTGTCTACTCTATCCTAAACTTGTACTACTTGCAGTACTATTTAAGGTATTCAACTTTTTCCCTAATAGAAATCGAAAAATTTTGCCACCTATTTTGCTCACTTATATTGCAATTAACTGTAATTAAATCATACTGCAATTTATTGAAGCATCACTTGAAAACATTCCAAATATTAAATTAACGCAACACGTAATCGTTTCCGCTTCAATTAGAATATCAAGCAATATTTTAGCTGTAGGTAATCGTATGGTTATTTGGCCGGCAGCGAATCAAATCTGAATTACTATGCCTCTGTACCCGGATTTTATGAAAGTTAACGAACCGATTAATTCACCAACATATTACTATAATTCAGGGAAATTTATGGATATAAATTTATAATTAATTCACCTTCAGCCCGAGTGTTTGAAGCTGAATTTTGAACGACCATTGTAATATTATTGATTGAAAACTATTCAATATTTTTCTGATCGATCATTGTACCAATCTAATTTTCTAACTTTTCAAGTTGTATTACATACTTTGTCAAATTGAAATGAATCTTTATCTTCGTAGCTTATTTACTTAATAACGCAACAAAACATCCCTTTTTTTTCATCACTTAAAGAACATCCATTATTCTATATATGCACTTATTATGCTCGCATAAGTGATTAAGAATTGTGTATGTTACCGAGCCTTGAACGATGCTTCTCGGTATTCATCAAGCAAAATGGAAAAAAATTCCATTCGAAAATATCGATGAAAAAAATGGATTAGATGTTATCATTGGTTGATGCATTCAGTCGTTTCCTACCTCTTGCGTTCGAAACATCAACATGAACACTAAATTTCGACGTTACAATTCGCAGAATAGAAAATTTCGTGGGGGTAAGTTCGAGAAAATCATTCGACTTTTTAATAGTGTAAACTTAAAAATTTTCATAATATTGTAATTAGGTAAGTTACTATCATTCCCAATGTATTAACTTTCAATTTATGCAACCAGGCTGTCGATCGACACTCGTTCAGTCTCTAAAAAGATCTTTTCGCGTGTATTGCGAAAATACAGGTCTGCATGGGTTTCGTTACATAGTTTCAAGTAAATCAAACTTGGACAGAATAGTATGGTTCACGGTAAATGAAACGTTTTGTTAATTCCTTTTTTATTATTATCTATTCTTATAATGATGTGTCCCTAATTAATAGATCTGTACATCATCGCTCATATTTTGTGTAATACTAATGTTGCGTCAATGGGATTATTTTTCGAACAATCCTACGGTAACCGTAATCGACGCTTCAAACCCTATAGAGGAGTTGCATTTTCCAGGCATCACTATATGCAGCAATAATAAAGTGTACAAACCACACGCCAACAAAATTGCACAAGAATTGTAAGTGAAGATTCTTGAACCCTTAGCTGGCAATGTGGGGTATGAGACAGTTGAAAATTTCTTTTGTTAGAACGAAGAAGGGGTTGGATATCAATGTAAGCAAAAAGTTATTCTCCTCCTTGATGAAACTAATACGTCCTAATAAACTAACTATTGACAATGAAACTGCATCCTGGGCCCTCGACATACTCGGTTACTCGGTAGAAAAATTAATGTTCGAGGTAAACAATTTTTTCTTTTCATATGTTCGTTTCTGTGAAATACAGTTTTATTATTTTTCTTTTTCGAATAGCTGATGGAGCCTTGCAGTATGCTAGTAGTAAGATGTGCCTGGCTTGGTCAGCTCTACGATTGTAACAAAATCTTCAAAACGGTGAAATCGGCCGAAGGATTCTGTTGTGGCTTCAATTACCATTTCGAACTTTCTAAAAATTATCGGTAAACTGAGAATTTTACATAACAGCAATTCGAATAAATTTCAAATAATTAATATTCATTTATGATAAATGAAATTTCCATTTTCAATGTTTTTAATATTCAATTTCTTGATTATTTAATCGACTCAGTGACAGGAATGCATGGTTAACGAACATAACGACCGTCGAAGAAGACTCGAATGGATACAATTCTTCTGATTCTTTACCAGGAGTTGGGCAGATTTTAGTAACATTAATTTTTAATAATTTAATCTTAAAACGAAAACCAAAGATTTCTTTATTTAAGTATAAACAATGTTTTACATAAATGCCATTTTTTTTTTAGCATGTACCTGGAACTGGACGCGACGTTGGTTTAGCGGTAGCGCTTAACATCGACGCTGAAAATTATAGAAGTTCGGTGAGACAATTTGTAAGTGCCTCGGTACTGATACATGACCCCTTAGATTATCCAGACATCGGTACACAGTCTGTTACTTTGCTACCGAGCCACGTAATGTCGCTAACACTTTCCGGAACAAAAATACAAAGTTCGAAAAATATTCAAAAAGTACCTTTACGCAAGAGGAGGTGCTTATTCGATGACGAGGTGCGTATGCAATTATCATTTTAATGTAAAGGGAGAAAAAGGTGTTTCGTTCTCGGAATCGTCTGTCGCAAGCGATCCCTGCCGCAGGCGCCTGTAACATCGTACTACCCATACATATGTACATATATCCGAATCGCATGCCAGGCGACCGCCAGCGAGAACAGACGAGAACACCGCCCTCCCTATCCACTAAATGCCTACTTACGTTAGACTCTCGTCGGTGGCATTTATTTCTTAAACTTCAAATTCAGATTTTTAATGAAATTATTTCCAGGTACCTGGAGAACGACAGTATAGTTATCAAACATGCATCTCAGAGTGCATGCAGCGAATACTGTATGGTTTCTGCGGTTGTTTGCCTTTCTTTTATCCAATTGAACGTGAGTACATCATGTTAGGTACAAAATATAAATACGTTTAATTTTTCAGTATATCTTTAATTCGTGAGTTGTAACAAACTTTTGTCCACTTTGTTGATACATAGATCCAAATGAGCGAACCTGTTATTTGACGGATGTAGATTGCATTCTATCTCGCAGGAGTAAGTAAATAAAAATATGTAACTTTTATGCAATTTTACGATTATTACTTGATTTTATAATATTCAAACAGGAAATTTATCTCAAACACAGCTATCTTATATCAACGAATGCAATTGTTTCCCACAGTGTACTGACACGTCGTACGAAGTGCTATCTGAATCTATGCAGATACATGATTTAATGTACAGTTCCGAATTAGCGTGAGTTTCTTTATGATATTGGAATTCACTGCCAGATACAGTGGCGGTAAGCGGACTAAGCAGCTGCGTAAGGCCGCCCAAGGTTTTAAAATGTCTTTTCTTTAGGGTTCGGGTAAAATTACGTTTTTTTTTTTGTACATATCAAATAATTATATTTGGTTATCCAAATATCATAATAATAACAGGGTTTCACCAAAGAACACATAATATTATGATCAACATAATGATATACATATACACACCAATTTTTTCTTACTTTTCTTTTTTGTTGATAATTTAATGTGAGTTTTCTTTAAAGTTTATTTTCTAACTTAAGTTTGAGGGCCCCGAAGTTTACACTGACCAAATAAACTTTTTTCATTCATTTTTATAATCAAAAGAACGTCTGTGAAAAGTAACGATGTAGAATAAATTTCTTTATTAATTAGAAGATTGTTTTTTACAGGCATGATTTGGATATAAAGAAGACGTCGTTCTTGTACATTTATTTTCGAGATAGCACGTACATTGAGTATCGTAGGCTACTCATCCTAGGATGGGATAATCTTCTCGGTAAAAGCAGTTCTAAAATAAAATTGACATCAATTATTTATTAAATCTAGGATATCATATTATTAAAATTTAATAACAGAAATGAATTTTAAAATTCTTTTACATAAAGAAATTTTATGATTATCATTCGTTTACAAATCTGAATTTCTGTTTTAATTTTAGCATCTTTCGGTGGAATCTTTGGATTATGTCTAGGCGGATCTGTAATTAGTTTCGTAGAATTTTTCTACTATATGCTGACAAACTTCATTGCTCGAGCGAGAAAACAGGAACAACGAAATCAAAATATACCCCCTGCTTCGAAATTATTTATTTCAGTACCTGCAAATGTAGCTCGAAAAAAGTATAATGCAACACTTAACAAAAATGCGATTCTTACGTGGGATCAACAATTTTCTCAACAAGATCACAAAAATACTATTGATTTAAAAACCAGCACATTTTGCCAGTAATGCATACTTTAATTTCAGGACAATATATGTATCCGTAACCGTTAAATAATTTATTTTTATTCAGGATGTTGACCTTTAATATTTAAGAAGTGTTGTGTAAATGTTGTATAAGAAATATAACATATATACATTACAACGTATATATTTTATTCCCTTTGATTCTATTGTTTTTTCCAAATCGGTCAAAAGCAGCACACGATTAAACAATTATTATTATTATTATTATTATTATTATTATTATTATTATTAATATTTGACAAACTTGTAGTCACCTCATGCACCTTGATAAATACCATCTTTTTGCTTTTAAAAAAGCAATTGAGTTATTATTTAATTTACCTAATTTCATTTCTGAGTTATTTATTTATTTAATTGACTTAAATTCTTTTATAAGAGCGCCGCCGGTTCAAAGGGGTCCCTGGTACCCCAGGATGATATCAAGGGAACACTAGCGCCACCTGCCGGTAAACGTCGGAAACAACTCGACAGCCCGTCTCTCGTCGGTACATACATACATACCATCAGTAAGTTGCCGAATAGTTTCCGCCGTTTTGGTTTAGATGGCGACGGTGTCGGATTTAAAACTATTTCATTTATGGCGGTCTTTTTAAAATGCAGGTTTGCAAATCCAAGTTTGTCAAACAATTGTTTTAATGATTTTTCAGTCTTGTGCTGATTTTAACTCATTTCTAAAAAAGAAAGAATCAAAGGGAATCAAAACTGTATCTTTGCGGTTGCCAGTGCGAGGTGTTGTAGAAAAGAGTTGTAAAACAGGCATAATCTAATTTCACCTCGGGTTATCTGGAACCCCAAAAATCGTAACCCGCGAGAACAAAGTATATCCTGTCTTTTTGTGTTTGTATTCACTGATTTCCGTAAGATAATTATGAATATTGACGTTTTGATGTAGCTGTTGCATGTTTGGATTTCTTACGAAACGTAAATAATATTATTATTTGTGAAATAGATTCACATAAACGTGTTTAATATATAATAAATGAATACACAATGTTTGGAAAATATGGAACAGTGTTCCAGCTTTAAAATTTGTTAAATAATTTATCGCAGTTTCTATCAAAAGTGAATGATTTTACACCACAGGTATTGAGCGATTTCTGTAGTATAATTCCATATGTGGAATATTTAAAATAATCGCGTTTGTACATGTTATTTTAATTGTCGAGATATTTCATATTATTCTAGCCTTGTTTATAAACGATACAAGCATGTCAACTTTAGAAGATAAAATTTTGGGGGAGAAGTTACACTATTACTGTAGTAGCTCCAGTGAGGATGAGGAAAATGATTCAAGAGATTCTGACAAAGATTCGGATAATGAAAGGTATCCTCCAGTAATTACAGAGTCTTGTATAGAACCATCGTTCTCAGAATGGGATGGAACCTCCAGTAATACTGGACCAAAGGGTGTTATAAAAGTAAAATTGTGTTTAAAATATTTGATCTAAACTTTTGATGGAAAAGCATATTCAAATATGTATATGTTTTAAGGATTGGCAACGATATAAACAACTCCAAGCAGAGAAAAGAGAAGAACAAGAGAAAGAACGGTTACAATTAATTAAAAAATTAAGTTTAACATGCTGTAGTTCTTTGGATGAAGAAAAGGAAAAAATTATGCAGACTGATCCAGATCTTGCTGAATTATTATCTGATGAATTTCTGTTAGACTATCAGAGACAGAGAATGAAAGAAATGCTTGCAAGATCTGAAAAGCTTCACTTTGGCAGAGTTATTAATTTAGAAACAGCAGACCAGTTTTTAGATGCGATCGATAATGAAGATAAATCTGTAACAATTGTTGTTCATATTTATGAAAATAATGTCCCTGGCTGTGAAGCTATGAATGGATGTTTAATATCTCTTGCAGAAAATTATCCATTTGTAAAATTTTGTAAAATTTTAGGTTTGTTCTCCAAATATTGTATTAATCTTACACCATATAAGTTATTATATTTACTGAAAAATTTATTCACCAATTATTATTACAGGTTCAGTAGCTGGACTTAGTAAACACTTTAAAAAAGAAGGAGTGCCAGCTTTATTAATCTATAAAGCAGGTCAAGTAATAGGAAATTTTGTTCATATAACTGACTATTTAGGAGTAGACTTTTATGCATCTGATGTTGAAACTTTTTTAATTGAACATGGAATGCTTACTGATAAGAACTGTGTACCTGCCATCATTTCATATTCTCAACATGAGAACACATCGGATAGCGAATAGACAAAACAGATAAATTGTTCTTAATCATTTTATTAAAAAACATTTCCTTATATATTTTATAGAACATTAAACCTTATTACGTTGTAAACATCTTTTTTTTCTTATAGGAGTAAATCTATATAAAGATTGTAAATATTTATATTCATTCAAATAAAAAAATATAGATCTATATACAAGTACTTAAAAAATACATTTATGTATTTTGCGAATAAATTTTAAATAATTTAAAGCTTTTCTAGTATCTGTTTCTTTTTCTTGATTGCTTTGCAAAAGTGTAAATAAGTTTTTAGAATTTCATCATATTCTGTGTTTTGTAAATTTTCATATTGTTGTTTTAAATTTTCTTTTTCTTTAATTTCATTCATTATTGTAAACAATTTTTCATCCAAAGCTGCATTTAGTGTTTTGTAAGCATCAACTGTTGTCGGTGTTTCCTTATACATTTTCATAATACAAGATAACTTTGTAATCCTTGCTTGTACTTCAGCAACTTGAGCTTGTAGTAACATGTATTCTGCTTTTTCTAAATAAATCTGACTTGTATCTTTGTACTTTAGCTCATTCCATTTATTCATTAAAGTTCTGTATTGTAGAATATCTACTTCATATGATACATATAATTCTTCAACTTTATTTTTCCAATGAAATATTCGTACTGCCTGAGGTTCAAATAACTTTTTATGTGTATTAAAATCAGTTGATCTTAAAAGTTCTTTCATATTTCCTCCTAGTTGCTCGTATCTAAAGCATCATAAAATTATTAGAATTTATATTGTACAATACTTTATAAATATTAAATATTACTAAACCTTAATATAATTTCATGTATCCTGTCTCTAAGCAATGTTTCTACATAGCATTTAATATCTAATATTTCTTCACAACTGAAGTTATATTTTGGTAGATCAGTAATTCCTAAAATACTTAATTCTTCTTGTAAATCCTTTAATGTAGATGGCAAATGCATATACTTATTAAGCTTGTGAATTAAAAGTAATCCTTTCAACTTAGTAACAACATCTTCAGACAATGTCTTTTTTTCATTTGTCGATGCTTCCTTAATACACTCCAAAATTATTTTGCTTTTTACATGTTCACCTATGCTTTCTTCACATGAGGTAAGGCATTTGACAGTCTTTTCTATGTGATTAGATCCATAAGTGGAATTTATAGTATTTCTACTTGCATTATGTGTTAAACTACATTGTTGCTCAAATAAACTTTGCAACGAATCTACTCTTCCTATTATTCTACTAGAATTCGAACGAGAAATCCGTGAAATACTTTGTATATCTACAAATTAAATGAATGAGACTAAATACATTATAAATTTGATATCTTCTTTTTTCAGTTATATTACATACCGGATATGTGACTCAAATCACCAAAACTATGCATGATGTGAATTGTTAGTACAATATTTTATCATTAACAGGACAAACATTAACGAAATTGTTTTAATTATAAGGCTTTTAAATTCAAACGGTTGAAGAAATAACTACTCGCATGTCGAAATTTTGCCCTTTGGCGGTGAAAATGGAAACTAAAATTAAAATCATGCAGACCTAACCTGTCCTGGGGGTGTTTAAAACCCCCAAAATCTTGGCCCTTTGAAAATAAAGACATCCAATCTTCCGGGACCTGCAGTTACTGATATTAGTATGTTCATACGTTCATACCACCTATGAAGCTAGACGGAAAGAATAATAAAATATGATTATTTTTTACTTTTCTTAGTGTATTTCGTTTTTAAATCGTTTGTGATTGGTTGTGAGTCTATTTTTAACGTTTGTGACAAATTACTTCTTTTGTAATTAGCAATTTTATTTCAGTCATGATGTGAGCCGAAACTTTTCAGTAATTTTTTATAATAAACAGATTTTGCGATAACTGATAACTGTAATTGATTGGAAATCGTGTGTGATTTACAAATATATCATTTTCATTATTTGTGAGTGAATAATTTCTTAATTATTTACAAGTACAGAGTCCTCAAAACCCCGTATAGTAGAACAGCGGGGTCCTCGGAACCCCAGTACAGTAATCCGGTCGTACCCATTACTATCCCGAACAAGCGAGTTTCACGATTTGTTCGTTTTTAGGTCTTATATTTCGCTAGATCCAGTCGAACCCATCACTATTCCGAACAAGCGAGTTTCACGATTTGTTCGTTTTTAGGTCTTATATTTCGCTACTTGCTTCGGGGTCCCTGACACCCCGGTGGCATAATATCGGCGCGCGGTCACCGCAACTGGGGTCCTCAGAACCCCAGCACCGTATGACATCGGGGTCCTCAGAACCCCAGCGCGGTAGGACAGTGGGGTCCTCAGAACCCCGGGTGGCAGCGCCGCGGGGTCCTCAGAACCCCAGCACGGTAGGACAATGGGGTCCTCAGAACCCCGGGTGGCAGTGCTGCGGGGTCTTCGAAACCCCAATTGGGGTCCCTGGAACCCCGTTACAGTAGCCTAGTAGCGCCATCTATCGGCAAATCGTGGAAACTACTTGTCGACTGGTTTGCGACTTTCGCCGATAGATGGCGCCAGGGTTTTACCCCTCGGGGTGCCGAGGACCCCGTCGCTCTAGTATACTGGGGTTCTGAGGACCCCACTGTCCTATCATGCTGGGGTTCTGAGGACCCCGATTGGGGTTTCGAGGACCCCGCACTAGTAAATAATTAAGAAATTATTCACTCACAAACAATGAAAATGATATATTTGTAAATCACAAACGATGTACAAACGAAATACGCTAAGAAAAATTGAAAATAATCATATTTTATTATTCCTTCCGGCTAGGTTTATATAGATTGTTCATAGCTGTGGTCGGTGTTAGGCAGTGTGGGCCAGCGTCGCTGAGAAATAAAAGCATTTAATCTGAAAAATGGCGGCCAATATCAATGATGTATTCAGTGAAAATTTGCAAAATGCAATACTTCAGAGTAAAGTACTTATTGTGGGTGCTGGTGGAATTGGATGTGAAATATTAAAGAATCTTGTTATGACAGGGTTTATGGATATTGAGATCGTAAGTAGAATTTATAAAAATAAGTATTATATTATAACCTACACATTTTTTCCCTCCTTTATTGGTATGCATTGTTATTAACTTACCGGCATTTGTATTATTGTAGTCTAATGATTCGTGATATCATTACCTTACAATGAAGAATAATGAAGAGCAAATGAATATTGTTTCAATTTACATTAATTACATTTTTATTATCTAAATGCTAAATAAACACATACTTTTTTTCAGATTGATCTAGATACTATTGATGTTAGCAATTTAAATAGACAGTTTTTATTTCAAAAGAAACATGTAGGAAAGTCAAAAGCTGAAGTTGCAAAAGAAACAGCATTAACATTTAATCCTGATGTAAAAATAATTCATTACCATGACAGTATTACATCGTAAGTATTTTGTTACTTTTAGGATAACATTTTTTTATATTCATTTACATGTATTTATGTCCACAGTTCAGATTATGGAGTATCATTTTTTAAAAAGTTCACATTAGTTATGAATGCACTTGATAATAGAGCAGCCAGAAATCATGTGAATAGAATGTGTTTAGCAGCAGATGTGCCATTGATTGAATCTGGTACAGCTGGTTACGAAGGACAAGTAGAACTTATAAAAAAAGGTTTAAGCCAGTGTTATGAATGTACACCAAAAGCTGCACAGAAAACTTTTCCAGGTTGTACAATTCGTAATACACCTAGCGAACCTATTCACTGCATAGTTTGGGCTAAACACTTGTTCAAGTAGGTTTTTAAATAATAATATTTTTCTAAGACAGATCTGTGAAACAATGTAAGGATATACTTTTAAATTTTGTGCAGTCAATTATTCGGTGAAGAAGATCCAGATCAAGATGTTTCTCCAGATACTGCTGATCCTGAAGCAGCAGGTAATAACAACATTTAAGCAAAATATTAAAATATCAAGTAATTAAATTTACTAAGAATGTTTTTTAGATTCTGCAGGCCAAGGTGCTTTAAATTCAGAATCAAATGAAAAAGGAAATATTAATAGAGTTTCAACTAGAATTTGGGCACAATCCTGTAATTATGATCCAGAAAAATTGTTTACAAAATTATTTCATGATGATATAAAATATTTACTTAGTATGGATAATTTATGGAAAAAAAGAAGACCACCTACTCCCTTAAATTGGAAAGAATTACCGGATGGAGGTATGTTAGTTAGTTGACTTTTCAGTTGCAGTTTTATTGATTATAGTTTTGTTTATATAGTACCAGGATGTAGTAAAGAAGTTAATGAACCTGGCTTAAAAGATTTACAACGTTGGAGTATTTCTAAATGTGGTACAATATTTGCTGAATCAATAAAAAATTTAAGTAAAACTCTAAAAACTTCTCAAGATAAATCATCAACTGATCATCTCATTTGGGATAAAGATGATCAAAGTTCAATGGATTTTGTTGCAGCATGTACTAATATAAGGGCTTACATTTTTGGTATACCACAGAAAACGAGATTTGACATAAAATGTAAGCGGTTAATTATTCCCTATCTTACGAAAATAAAGACGTTATCAGTCTTACAATCTAACTTTTTAAATTATTTTTTATAGCAATGGCAGGCAACATAATTCCAGCAATTGCAACTACGAATGCAATAGTAGCTGGTTTAGTTGTTCTTCACGCATTCCGTATTCTTGAAAATAACTTAAAAGCATGTAGATCTGTATATTTGCGTTCAAAAATGAATCACCGCAATCAGTTGTTGGTGCCCGAAAAGAACGTGAATCCACCAAATCCAAAGTGTTATGTATGTGCACCCACACCACAAGCTGTGCTAGCTATTGATACTGCTAAAGCGACAATCAAAGAGTTAGATGAAGTAGTACTAAAGAATAGATTGAATATGATTGCTCCAGATGTTATAATAGACGGTACTGGCACTGTTGTCATTAGCAGTGAAGAGGGAGAAACCGAACAAAATAATAATAAATTCTTAGAACAGTTAGGAATTAAAGATGGTTCTATACTCAAAGTTGATGATTTTCAACAAAATTATTCGTTAACTGTAACTGTAGTGCATAGAGAACGACCAAATGTAAAAGATGATAGTCCAGATTTTCTCATCTTGGCTGATGAAAAAGACCTTAAACCTAAAGAAGACAATGATTTAATAAAGCCATCTACCTCAAACGGACGGGTGAGTAAAAAATTATATGAATATACAATTATTTCTGTAGTCATTGATTTTAAATATGTACGAACTGAAAATTTTATTCAGGTGGGTCGCTCTGATGATAATGTAACGATCATTGAAACTGAAACTCCATCGGATATGATAAAGAAACGTAAAATTGAAACTGCTGAAGATTTCCTCATGTTGGCTGATGAAAAAGACCTTAAACCTAAAGAAGATAATGATTTAATAAAGCCATCTACCTCAAATGGACAGGTGAGTAAAACATTTTATATGAATATACAATTATTTCTGTAATCATTGATTTTAAATATGTACGAACTGAAAATCTTATTCAGGTGGATCTATCTGATGATAATGTAATGATCGTTGAAACTGATACTCCGTCGGATATGATAAAGAAACGTAAAATTGAAACTGCTGTAGAAGTTACATCTTCAAAGAAACAAAAATTGGCAGTTAATGATGTGGATGATGATGTTTGTATTATTGAAAATGATATTAATAATGATGGTACTACTGATAAAGGAAAGCCGAAATCTAAAACACGTAAGAATTCAGAAGATGACGACTGTTTGATTGTATATGATGATAATATGCAAACAGTTGCGACTTCGCAGTGAGTGAATAAAATAAGCCAAAATATTTAATTTATAATTTTGAAACAAAAACTTGAGGACACAAAATTCTTAAGTTTATTAATCAATTTTGTATAAAATCATTTGTTGATATAGAATTGTGCAGACGTACTAGTTCCAGCAGTTATGTTGTGCGATTCAGTTTTCGATTAAAGCATTGGTATCATTTTTTAAATGCAATTCATAAATAAGTAAATAACACAATTAAGTTTATAATACGAGTGATGGCATACTATGAGAGTGGATGTGTACGTGTCAGTAATGTTATTGAAATTATAATTTGAATAAAATGTATTTTAATTTCTGCAGATATTTAAGAAAATGCATAGTTTGTAGTATGTCATTTTATAGAATGTAGCGGTGAAATACATTTTTATATAAAAAAAAATTAAATACTTTTTCTTAACAGAAACTTTTAAATCTTCTTATTTATACAATTAAGATACCGATTGAAATCATAATTATACATTTCAAAGTCAATTTTGTATCTTTCATACAATTTTAAAATGATATCTTTCGTTAAGTTTCTAAAATATTTACACGTTGTATCAGAATCACTGTGACCTCCTCGTGTTTCCTCCAATTTAGGTAAATATACTTTACTTTTATCCACACCAAATTTAGAAAAAATATAATTAATTTGACCATACGTATAATCGTCTAGCTTTAAAACATAATTATATCGTACGTTACATAGGGCACAATGTGTGTAATACCGATTCCAATGAACATCATCTTCTTCATTACTTTGTAAAAGCCATTCCAAAAATTCTTTAAAAGTTGGTATTATCTTTAATCTTCGAAGAAACGAACATGTAATAAAAATCTGTCAATAATTTGATCACAAATTTATGTTATATTCCACCAATTTACCTTCTGTCAGGTGTAAATACTTTTTGCTGAAAACCGTGAGTTTTATTCGAATGAAATAACTCGGGTCTCGTAACGTGAAATATTTTCTTAACATAGATCCAAGCTTGGGCGGTATACTTAGTATTGTCTTCTATACGATCTCTAAATATTAAGAAATAGTTTCTTCCATTTAATAATATAAATCTAATAAGGTAAATATATATTTAATTAACAATACCTGTATGACGATACAAGTCTTTGAAAGGGATGTCTCACTATTAAAAGTTTAAATACTTTTGTATCGTTTGAAATTAATTGCAGTTCTTTCAACGATCGTGGTGCTAAAATATCAACTTCTCTACGAATAATTAATCGGTTAAACATGTAATTATACAATTTAGAGGAGTAATTAAATGACTTTCAACAATACCTATAATACTTCCGTGTAGGTGGACGATTTTTCATATCTGCAAATAATTTCGTAAAACTTGTTGATGCTACTTTCCGAATCCAACAGTACATTGATTTGTGCTGTGAATTGTATAAAAAATGTCTCCTTATTAATGGAGTTTTCAAATTATATTTCACACATACATTTGAAATCTGTTGAAGTGCATTTGTACTTTCCTGTTGAGAACATTAACGTTTAGTTTATGCATTATAGATTAAAGCGATCCAGTTGTATGTACTCTTGCTTACCTGTAAGTTAATAGATTCTCCTTTCATTGCATCGTGTTCTAAAAATTTGATTTCTAAATTAATTGGATTTGTAATCATTTCAGATATTATCGAACATTTATGATTCGTGTCGTTAGTTTTTATAAAGAACACTGAATGCCGGCGCGGTAAATAAAAACTTTGTCTTATTCTTAATAACAAAGAACAAACTGCGATATATAAAACAACGCATAACATGCATTTTATAAATTGCGTTTTAAATGACATAATTACAACAGAAAATGTTTATTCTGACAGTGGACTGGTAAGATTAAAACAACCGTTCAGAATTATCTGCGGGGGTGGAATAGAAGATAATATTTATCTCTGACTTTGATTAATTTCTAATTTCGTACAAAAACGGGTGAAAAGTTAAATTGTTAATACATTGTTCAAAAGGTAAAAAGAAAATTAAACCAATATATTTTTTTATTCTTTACTACGAAATAACACTGAAAACATATGGTATCATAAATCACTAATTTTAATAGACACTTGTAATATTAGGCTATTTCCGTAATTAGTAATGATTTAAAAGTTAATTGTGATGAAAGTATTCCACACTTTATAATTGACTATTTTTATCAATTTTCTTATGAAATTTGAAATCTTAATAACTGAAATAATGATGATATTAAATAATGTGTTTATTCTGAAGTATTATAAATGTTAATTTTTTAATCAATGCCAGTGATCTATATTAAAATGTTATATTGAACGTTATTCCACCAATTCGAGTTTGATTATACAAAACTGAATGTTAATTACTGTTTATAATTATATTGATTCACAATTGAAATTTCTACATATAAAAAAGACTGTTAAACAGTAACGTGTGAAGTTCATAAAAGAATATATCAATAATATATAAATTTAATACAATATAAAAGTAAACAAACAATACTGAATAAAAAAGAACAACTTACTTTTCGTTAGTACTAAATCCGTATAATGTAGGATTTAATCAATTGTGAATCACTGTTGAGTTCTAAAGTATTCGTCTTATCTTTCATTTGTTTATTATTTCATTTTTTTTTACATAATCATGAAATAAATGGTTGATAAAATTAAATTTCTAATTTTTACTGGTTATTATTACACATATGAAGTATTGAAATACTTCTGAATGCACCATTTTATCAGAAAGACAACAGTGTACCTTTAAACAGTTTACTTTAAAAATGATACATTACCCAAATGTTTACGATTAAAATTTTTAATTATATTTTTCTGAATTACTAATGCAAGTAATTATGTAATGAACAGTTATTACTGCAGGATTATAAATGTCACGATACCATGAAAACCCTTATAAACATGTGCATGAATTGAAAAATGAAAGAGTAAATGAATGAAGACAATATTAAAAATTTCTTATCTACGATCTCTATATCTATGATGATGATCACGGGAAGATCGATGATCACTATGTCGGCTATGACGACTCGCTGTTCTCCATAAAAATTCATCTACACTTCTTTCGTAACTGCGCTTTTCAAGCGCGGAAGCTGCTGCACTATAGTCCGGAGGCAATGGTAGACCATCGTAATACCTCGGTGGCGGCGGCGGTGGAGGTAAAGAATCATAAGGATGAGGTGCAGCATAAGGAGGTAATGGTGGTAATTGATGTTGCATAGTACGCATATAATCTGCGACATATGCTTCAGCTGCTGCAGCTACACCCAATCCAGGACTACCATATCCTCTGTGAAATTAATGATCATTAAGAATAATGCATTAAACTTATAACGATAATACATTTTGAGACAAGTATCGTACTTCGAATAGGGAGAATCGCTTCGATTAAACCAGCTAGTATATCGATGATGATGATGATGATCTCTCGATCCTCTGTGTTCGTTACCAGCTAAGTAAGATCCTCTAGCTAAAGAAGCTAACCGAGATCGTGAGGTTAAAAAAAGTCTACGTCCTCTGCCACCCCTTGATCGTAAAAATCTAGAACTATTATTAACAGGTCTATTATCTCGATATGAACGAGATTTCATTATATGTTTTGCCGCTTCTTTAGACTTTCTCAAAATTGGAGTCATTTCAATTCCTAAAACATTTATTGCTAATTAGAAATGATACATCCTCTCTTCTTCTTCTTGGTAAGAAATTGAGTATATGAATGTACCCTCATCCTCTGGGAATAGTCTGCATAATTCTTCTGCAACTTTTGGTTCAATTTCTTGTCCATCACGACCAATTTTTACCTGTTTACCATCATTCCATGGATTGTATAAATGCAATGTTGCTGTAAATGGTAATTCCTTTCTACATATCCAATCCACTTTAAACACACCACCCAGAGCTTTAGCAGACAACCCAGGTGGCAATACCTAAAATTCATGTGCATTTTTTCCTAACAACATGTACAATAATTTTCAAAATTATTTTGTTGCATGTACAAACCCAGGAAATTGGTGCTCCGTCTCTTCTAGATTCTGTACTAAGTCGAGCAAAACCAGCAAATTTTCCTGATTCTTTCACAGAAAACACAAGTAAGACATTTCTAGATTCTCTGTAAGCTTGATTTAGGTTGGCCTCATTTTGAGGTAACGTACTCCATACACCTTTAGCCTTTGATAGTGTAACATTTTCAGCATTGTTTGACTTGATGATGAAAAATCTAACAAAAAGAACTTTAAGACATGTTCTTGGCATTTAATTAATATGCTTATCTATAAATAAAATACTACTTCATATTTAAAAAAAAAAAGGTTGAAATTTATTTTATACATAAAAGATATAAAAGAAAGAGGAAGTTGTATTTAAAAAGCAGCCAACCTTGCATCTCTGAATAAGTAATTTAATTTTGTAGCATAATCATAACTTTTAGCAATTCCTTTACTTTCCTTGGATCTTGCACGTTTTGTTTCAGGACTAGAAGATTTAGAATCTCTTGATCTAGCACGCTTCCCTCTATTTTTCCGATTTCGTTTATTATCTCCACGTGAGGATTTTGTTGAGACAGAACTTATACTGGGTTGACTAGAATCAGAATTTGAACTACTGGATGAAACCTCACTGCGTGTATCATAAGTTTCATCTGCAGCAATTTTTAATTCATCTACTATATCATTTTCTCCACAGCTCAGATTTAAGTTGTCTCCGTCCGTATTATTGTCCATAATTTCACTTTTTATTTGATATTCACTTTCACTAATGCTCAAAAGTATGTTGTCACTTGTCCCGTCATCCAGGCTTTGTATTTCTGGATTTTTCGGGCTTTCTTGTATGAAGCCAATGCAGTTCTGGCGCCTTTAAACCTTTTCTGAAACGCAAATATAAAAAATGGCTTACTAGACGGATATCCAGTATGCAATGGTATTTGTCCGAGTACAATATCATATTTGAACAGATCTTGTATGTCTTATGACAATTACACGGTAGGAAATAATGTAGTAACATTTTTGATATACAAGAAGAAAAGTTCAGAAGATTGCACATGAAATCCGATTTAAAGTCACTGTGGTAAAAGATTAAAAAGTCCATTTGTCAAAAACTTTGATGTCCTTATGTAGTTTAATTAAAACATTTATAAGTTTCTTAGAGGTTTCCAATATGTATCTACTATTACTGCAAGACTTCAAGTGTTTCTTGCTTCAGGTAGATATAAATTATGCCTAATAGTGCTAAAGGGTTTGTTTTGTTTGAAACAATGTTTAGCAAAGGAAAAGTTCTCTTTTTTTTTTTTTAAACAATTCACGAATATATATGTCCTTGTATAAGTTAAAAATAAATAATATGCTTTAAACTGTAGAAATTTCCTTTCTTTAATTTAACAGAGTGTAGTACACAATTCTTGTTGCTCTATAAAACACGAGTATCTTTTTTGAACTTTGTATATGAAAGTTTATCATAAAGTTTATTGTAATCAGATGATCTTGCTAAAGTGTGCTTTTTAGCCTATTAATGTAGAAAGGCGAGGAATCTTCGAGTTTGTCTGTATTTCATGTAATAACACATCGTGTTTCTTTGACGTTTCTATACAGTCTTTTAAAACGCGAAGGCTATGCCTAAGAAAGTTCGTTGTAAATATTAATTGAATAGCAACATCAGCACCACAAAACATACTCAAAACCAACGTTTTTATCATTGATTTTATTGAAAAAGTTCATGTTTTGCAAACGTAAGTCTTTGACGTTATAAACCTCTTAGGCAGCTCGTACACACTTACGTGCACACTCGTTCTTCACTAACACACTTCGCACCTCACGCAAGAATGCTCAATGACTATCATGTGTTCAATAACTTTTTCTATTATTTTTCAACACGAAATACACAAAGACTTCCATAGGAAATTGTGTTTTTCTCAATGAAAACACAATAAACTATTATCTTCTCACGCAAGCATAAACGATGGCGTCCATTACGTGACGTGTTCCACCCGATCGATAGAAGCGATTTCAGATGGAAAATCCCTATAAAGAAATTCTAAGTGATTCTAAATAACCCTAGAACTCTTAACTCTTATTCTGTTTTTAATTTTTTATATTCTATTTACTTTCATTACATAAGTACACATGATCGAAATATTCTCTCAAATATATCAAATAAAAGAACTTAAAATTATAAAATACAAATTTGCTATATAAATGTTGAACAATTTTTAAATATATTATTGAAGTTTTCTTACTTAAAACTTATGTGCTACTTGTCTAACAGTATCTCAAGCTATTTAAATATTAATTATCCTACATGCAGAAAAAATACTTTCTTTCTCTGTAGAATTTCTTTAATTAAAATCCCTATGATGGGGCATAATCGCCATCTTTAAAAAGGATGACGACCATCTTGGATCATTTTTCACGGGTTGTTGACACGGGTAGATCACAGCCGGTTGTGAAAGTGCTTCGCGATGTAATATTAATCATAATTAACTACCGTAAATAAGTAGTAATTATTTAGAAAACAGGATTAAAAGTGATATCAATTCAGGCGGTTTAGGTTATTGTACAAGTATTATTATAAATGAAGGTGTAAAAAAAATTGGTGGAAACAAGCGTCTGTCACGAATATAAGCAATTTTGACAGAGCTAAGCTTTAAGTTTTATTGTATATATCTAAAAGTTTATTTTAAGAAAGTATTTTTTCGGTTGTGTTCCTTCATGTGAAAAAAAGGCCAAATTTTTGGAAGAAAGAAGATAAGAAACGTTACAAACACATCTTATAAAGGAAAATGGTTTCGTGCACATGGTGACACCTCTGGTTAGTTTATGCATTCTATAAACAATTTGTCATATTTTGTTTCGAAATAATTTCCTTTGATCATGTGTTTTATATTAATTATAAGTAAATATTGATCAAATAATTATGTGTTAAATAAAAAATTCCCTAATGATAAATAGGTATTGTAAATTTTTGCAAGAGTGAGATTCAATGGCTGTAACTTATAATGGCGAAATGCAACGTATCATTACTTGAATTTTTATAAACGTTCAGTATTAAAATTAAATTATTTATGTATTATAATAGCTATAGTTGTATTTTAATTGGTATATATGTAGGAGTTTTATTGATAGTACATATATATATATATATAGATTTAAATAATATTCCGAATTAGTTTATTTACTAATGCTTATTTTTCAGTTAAGTTTGAATTATTATTACCGTGAGTATTGCTAGAAGAATTTTATTATACAAAATCTTTTTTTTTTAACACAGTACAAGTGTTTTATTAAAATAAATTATAATCAATATAATGGTTGATTTATTGCGCATTAATTATAAATTATATCAGCACAATATAATGGAAAAAATATTAAAATCAATAAAGAATATTGTCTTCATTTTTATTAAATTATTTCTATAATGAAACCATATATTTTATGTAAATTACATTTAAATTATAATTATACATAGAATACTCTGACATTTAAATATAAAAAGATTGAATTATTGATTTTGGATGATACATTTAAGATATTGTGAAAAGATTATATAAATAAGAGAAAGTTTACTGCATTAGCCTCATTGTTTATTTTAAGCTACATTTAACTTTGATCTATTATTACTAAGGTGTACATATTATGTATAAAGTATATAATATAAGATTATAATGTGTGCATACTTCCACTTTTCATACTTCAACTACAGAGAAAGGATTCAAGTATTGATTGCAGGAGCATGGTGTGCTATGGCAATAGGAGGAGGGTGAAACCCAGACAAGACCCCACCTCTGTATATTATGCCTTCCATTTAAGTTTGACTTAAATCATTTCAGACAATTGCACTTAAATATATATATATATATATATATAGTATATAACTTAATAAAATCTTTTATTCATAACAAAATGTATTCTGCAGTTAAAAGATATGTATGTTGAATATTTATAAGTCAATGACCCATATGAATGTTTAATAATTATAAACATTAGTCTCACATATAGATACAAATACCTTTATATATAAATGTAATTAGTGTCAAATTGTGATAGATGAATTATTTAATGTAAAATTAATTGTCCTTGCATTGTAACTTATGATATATCTGTTTCAGATCATTAAAAAGATGATAAATATAAAAAATATATGAATGACAATGGGCTGAAATATATCACACTATAAAACTTAATTTTTATATATGGGAGATACAGGTAATATTTAATTAAAACATTCTTTTTATCCACTAAAACACTGCAATTATGCACATACATACAATAATAGAAACTGTTTTGCTGTTAAGGAACATTAATCATGGCAACAGTAGAAGAAAAGAAGAGAGTTGGTGGCTCAAAGGTTTCAGCCATTGCAAACATCTTTCAATCGAAACCTCAATTGGATAATTTAAGCCATAGAACAAATAACATTTTATCGGATGGTTTCAAGGAACCAACTGTACCTTTAAAAGAATCTCCTACACAGGTTACAGTTGTTAGGACAGAAAGTCACGTGGCTCGTTTTAATAACGCCCGTGCGCTTTTTGAAAAGCTTGGAGAAGAAAATAAACCACATAAACCGTAAGTGCATAATATAAAATGGAAAATAAATACCATAATAGATCGTCGAATTATTTGTAAGATATATTTTTTGTAGGGTGGACAGAATTACAAAACCTAGTAATTTACATGGTTTAAGATCACGTTCTAGTTCAGCAAATTCTGGATCAGGTTGTACATCTCCTGCGAGATCGCCCCGTCCTCGATCTCCATCACCTCCAGGAGCTAGAGATCACTTGAGTAATTGGAGTGCAAGTGTACCAGCTTTAAATGCTGAAAGGCATTTCGAAAATGGTCATAATCATGGTTTAGATAATTTGTCAGAGAAACATAAATCGCGTGCAGGACAAGGAAAATTTGAGAAAAATTATGGTAAAGAAAATCGTTTAGATGATCGTCCAGAAAAACCAGAGAAACCTGAAAGAAGGTTAAATTCAAAAGAATTAATTGAAAAACAGAAAAATTGGACTAGTCATTTCTCAAAAACTAGACCAAGCAGATATAATTCAGATCCAAATAGATCTGTGGTTCAGACTTCATTAAATCAAAGTGCAAATAAAGTTAGCGTAGAAGCTACTTCCGTAGGACATGTACAAAATGCGGTAAATACTGATAATGAAGTGAAAAGACCAACAGATATTTCTACTAATCCGGCTACAAGGTCTGCAAGCTTTTGCTCTACTAGATCGTCGGTCATATCTCCACCTCCACCTCCACCGCCAACAAGAAATTCTTCTGCTTCAAATGTAAGAAAAGAAAGGCCAGCTAGTATTGCAGCAGTATCTCCACCAGATATTCCTAGTAGCCCAGAATACGCTACTATAAATAAATATTTTGATACTTCACCAACTATACCTGAATATGCCGTTGTCCAGAAAAATACAAATGTACAAAACAAACATTTCCAAAGAAATCAAGAACAACGAGATGTTACAAAAAATGTCGTTACTCCAACGCCAGAAAGGACACAAGATGTGGTTGTACCAGAATATGCTGTGGTACAAAAGAATACTGCAGCCAAAATGCTTGCACGAAATATAGATGCATCGAAAAATGCTACCACACATTCAAAAGGTTTAAATAACACTGAAAACAGCGGTTTATCCTCTAAAAATACTCTTGCAAACTCAAGTATTGATATTTATTCACAAACAAAATCACATGTTTCCTCTCATGAGAGAAATTCTGATATATCTAGTCCGACAAGGAGTATGTCAATAGAGAATATTCCTAGTATTGCAGTGGAAAATAAACTAAAGAAAAGTAGTGACTTACTTGATACACCTGAGTATTTAAATTACCCTTCAAACGTTGTACGTTCACCACCTAAAACTTCTGAATGGAGAAACGAATGGTTAGCCAAAAATGATGAAATTTTAAAAAAAGCAACAGATCTGAAAGGTTCTAGGGAAGACGTAGACGCCAAAAATGAAATCGTTAGACCTGATCCAAGACCAGATTGGGCTAGGCCGTGTATAAATACTGTAAGGAAGAAAGATAGCTTGACGGATGAAGGGAAAATAGAGCCATCAAAATCTCCAGATCCAGAATTAAGACCACCTTCTGGAGGTACGGATAGCGCTTCTTCTAGTATGAGCTCCCCTAGCTCCCCTTCCAAGGATAGTAAAGAAGAGAAGGCAGATAAGGAAATGTCTGAAAAATTTCAAGCGGGTAGAGTATATGTAAATTATCAATAACATGATTTAACATCATCTATACGGATGTATGTAACAACAAATATATTTTATACACGTCTATAAAAAACATATATCAAAATTAGAAGTATAATTCGTTGATTAAATTTCGGTTTTTGTATCTTTATTTATTTTTATTTTATTTTTTTTTTACAAACTTATTTAATTACTACAGAATATTTATTTCATAAAATATCGAAATTCTGCTCTTTTACTATGGCAATGTGCCAAAATTCTAAAAAGTAACAGTACAGGAGGAAACTTTCCTCTTTCCCTCTTTCCTCCTCTTCTTGATCTTAGTTCCACCTACTGGTTCAACAGTATTATTTATAGAAATGTCTGTGTATTCTGTTCTGCTTCTGTCTGGCTCTACTTTACACCATTCACTTCAGTAAAGTATTTTACAAATTTTAATAATTTTCTTATCAGTGATCATACAAAAAGAAATTGTTTATTAATAATTAATTACTATTTTCAAAATATTTCTTTCATAAGAAATGAGATTAC